TGAGACTTGCTATGCATTTGCGGACAAAAGAAGGAAAGAAGTGCTCAGCAGAAGATTTGTAACTCAAAACTATTGGGCTGTAGTTGAGCTACCGGTTGTGGATTGGGTTTGAAGAGCTGAACGATGTTCGGTTGTTTCACAATGTGCCAAATATTCAGCTTGTGTCCCAACTTTCATGGAACAACAATTGCACTCGTAATGGATTTGCACCAGGGTAAACTCCTTAAAAATAGAATATTAGCGAACAAAGGGTCTGAGAAATTTTTTGGGAGCTAGTGTAGACTTACGGATTCAGTTCCTTGGCAGACAGATCGCTGATGATTCTTGAGAAGGACCTCTTGTTGAAAAACATTCGTGCATGACGGACAGGCCCAGCCAACCTGAATGTGACAGGTTATTTTTGATAATCATGGTTCCCTATAGGTTAACAAGTGTAAACGCATCGAAAGATACGTAAAATTTTGCATCCAAAAAGCCAATAATTTATTTATTTATTTTTCATCAGTAAAAATCTCACCGCAAAACCTAAATTTCCAAATCTTACCTCGATCTCCTTCTGGGTTAACGTTTGCGCATCAGCTGGCTCCAACTTCTGTCTCAATTCATCTATGCTGAGACCATCTTGCGTGAATCTTAAAAACATCTTTTAGAACAAATTTAATCTAATTTACTCAAAATTATTCTAATTTAAAAATATTTCAAGTAAAATCCCTACCTTGAGGATGAAAGCCCGGCAGTCATATCCGTTTTGATGCGTAGTTTGACAGTATCGGGAATTTGAAGCATTGCCACCGGTGTCCCAAAAACAGCTGGATCATAAACCAAAGGAAGACCTGGAATTTTTCTTCACGTCCAATAATTATAAATCATCAATTAGAAGTAAATTACCTCCAGGCATCATTCCGTTCATGAAGTTGAAAGGAAACCCGTTTAGACTGAGATTGGCTAACTGAGCTGGTTGCGTTGGTGCTTTGTTGGGTCTGAAAGAGGAAGATGAAAATTGAAATTCATTATTAAAGCTGCTGAAACTCTGTTAAACCAAGCGCAACCGTATTCGTAATCTTATTGTAAGTTTGATTTTTTTTGAGCAGTTTTAATGAATAAGTTCTCTCTTGGTTATTTGAGGGGAAATTACGGTAGGTTACTGTAGCTCTAACAAGATGCGCATGCAACAATTACAGTAGTCTACCATAACCCGCCATCATATCTTAATCATACTCTTCCATACTCAACGCGTTCTTCAGAATAGGAAATTTCCATGGTTCATGTAACGTAAAACCCCAAAAAAAATTTTTCCTCACTTT